ATGTAGGGCTTTGAAAGGATAACCAAAGCTCCAGACCTAAGACTCAAAACACAGGCACTTCAAGCCGAAAGCACCAACCATGTAAACCCAAAAACCCACTACATTCAGGAGGCACGAGAGACGTGCAGCTTCTGTTGGGCTTTAGGGTTGATATGAGGGCAAGGAGCCTTTCAAGCGCTTCTTTCATGTACTTTTCAGCAGGGTCGTCCCTGGCTGTCTCATGGTTGATCACCTTCTTGTTGCGGCTGCTTTTATATGGGGTCTTCTCATTTTCTGATGCAAGGTCGCAAAACTCCAGTTTCGGTCGAGTCATAACCATTAGTTGCTCTGTTTAAGCCCTCCCACAATTTCTGAAGTATCCTGTAACATATTTAATATACCAGAATATACTATAGTATGCTATAAATGCTATAATATATTCTGATTTTCACCGTAAGCAGCAAGCCATGAACTTTGCCCTCCAGTCGGTGCCGCAAATCTTTGTGGGCGGCAAGTTCATCCCAGGCACCCACGCAAATACAAGGAATCAATCGGGTTTGGGATTTTGGAATCATAGAGTCGTTGTGAAATTGAGGCCTGTTTTGAGGGCCCTTACATGTGGACGGGTCGCACTTTCAAGTAGTGCTGTTTGGGCATGTTTGGGCCACAATGTTGATCGCTGCCCATTTGGAGTTTTGAAGAACGTGCTGGTCCCTTCAGCTGATTTTGAAGATTGACGTTCGGAGGATAGGCCTTCCAGGCAAGACAGGCTGGCTTGTGATTTCTCACGGCAGCTGGCCTCTTGTCTCGAAATCAGCCCTACAAAGACCCCATGACAGCGGCACTTATGTGCTTGCAAGCCGGCTCCCCTGACACGTTGTTGCAGTGCAGAACATAAGCGCTAGTTGTCAGCAAGGACAACCTGGAGTTGGGGTAAGCGGAGCCAGTTGTGTGCAAAACCAATGTGGTGGTTCCCCTAAATAGGGGAACCTCAATATAGACTCCAAAAGACCATACCCCCAACATGGTAGCCATAATTTTTGGGAAAACCCCCCATGTAACAATGTAGTGATGTATAGCTTGAAGAGTCTGGCTAGACCTGAAAATTCAATCTTCTCATATATTCGCTGAGAGCACTCAGGAAAACAAGGCTTAATCTGGATCAATGTTAGGGATCCTTTATACTTTTTGGGATATGGGATTCCTTATATTAATAAAAAAGGATCCGTTTTTCTTCCTGGGGTAAGGTGGGCTAAGTAATGATTGCAATCCAGGTGGCTGCGACAATATCATGGAACTCCGAGACAAGGGTGAACTCAAGCCGCTCCTGCAGGAGGCAATAGTAACAATGCGTGGAAGTGACTGAAATCCGGAATTTGCAGTTGTGAGCTAAGAGCAAGCTGGCATCAAACGGGAGTTTAAAAGTGTAGATAGGTACACCCATAATTGGGCATGCTATCTTCAGGCAATTTTCTGAACAACAAGCCGGTCTATGGGCCTGCTAAGGATTGTAGCAGAGTTCCCACCAAGGGGACATGTAGGCACATCCTTTAAATGAAGATGACTTACAGAAGGGCATATATAGATGGCTCCACGCTGGCGAATGCAAAGATCTTGAGGTTTGGAAGGAGGCTAAGACGATCAGGGACCCAATGCAAGATCCTGGAGAGTGATCACTTGAATTGAAGGGAGGTAGGAAAACCCAAAGTTACCAGAACTATCCTATAGTCCATTATGGCTTATAGATACCACCCTGCGGTAGTTTTTCCCGCATTCTGCTTACCTTGCATCGAAGACCCAACAGCAGCCATGGGATAGCCCAAGTGCCCACAGTTTGTCTTTCCCGCAGACCGCAGGCGTGGGCTCAGCTGGTTTTACAGACCCAAGCATGTGGTATGTGAGGGTCACTTTTCGATCAGGCTTGACACTCTGCTTGTCAAACTTGTGTCGCGCAACCCTTGGGTTGAAAAGCCATTGAGGGAGTAAATTGACTTTCCAGGTTTCCGGGAAGTGCAGACTGAAAGTTTCAATTGCAGACAAAGGCATGAAGAAGACAGTGAAGCCACAAACAAAGCTCAGTTTCCAGCATGGCGGCCAGTGATGGAGATGTGAGCTGCGAGTTTTACCAGGGGAGTGGCCAGCAGGCGCCCTTTCTGTTCTTCAGAACTGCACAGAATGGATCAAGGATGGAAGTGCCACCAGCTCCATCTCCAGACGGACTCTGCCACTGGGGTGCTGTTAAGGAACTTCAATTAGCTTACCATGATACTTATACGGAAACCTTCTGTCATACACCCCAAATATGGTGACTTCTTTTAAGTTCCATAACAACAACACAGGTTACTACCCAGAGGCAACTTGTTCCCAGACCGTGTCTTGTTGCGAACTGGCACCTGCTTTTTCCCACAAAGCCAGTTCTGCATCGACCTTGAACATGATGAGCTGCGGACTGGTCATTGTGCTTGTCCGAGGTTGCTCAGATACCAAAAGCCCTTCATGGCCTTAAGTACTTTATAGCCTTAAGAATTCTGAAGGTAGCATAGCATAGCAAGGTCATGCAGAGGCTTTAGTATCCACAGTGTAGACAGCTTTTGGGGGGCCATGGTTCTGGAGTTTGTTAAGAAATTCCAAGCCCAAGCCCCAGTAGGGTCATGCTAGAAGGCTCCAACAGGTCGTGCAATAGGAGTGGTACATTTCATGAATCCATGGCACGTATACATCTCGAGGCTTTCTTTGCGCAAAACAGACTTACCCGTTCGCGAACAGATTCTTCCAACAAGGAGGGTTACGGTATTGGGGTAAAATACTTGGAGGCAACCCCGTTTTTTGGATGTACTGCAGGTTCCAAAAAAACATATACTCGAGTCGTAGATTCCTTGTATAGCTGGCATTATAGGGTTCCTCAAATAGACTTCAAAATACTATTCTTAATTCTCCGGACCTTTACATACAGTAGCATGTTTTTATGATCCCCAACGTACCCTAGTTTCGTTGCATTTCCCATTTGATGTTTCATTTGGTTTTCCAGTATTTGGGGGGGCAATATCCTTCTAGCCTTATCTATATGACCCTACATGGCCCCGATATCCCCTTTTAAGGGCCCTAGCCTCAGAAACCCTGAGCCGAAAACCCTAAACCCTATTGAATCCATAGGCATCCCAGCATTGTCTCGGTGTTTCTGCCGCCGGCGCGATTCAGAGGACGAGTCTTCAGTGGATGGCGGCCAGGAGGAAGAGGCCATGTGGGGTTGTTGGAATTTTTTGGGGGCGCTCGACATAGTAAGGGTCCTGTTGCGTGGGAGTAGAACGGGCAAGACTCAGGTTTCCTAATTTCAGAAACTGATATTTGAATTCCTGCTTTGTGGTGTTTACGCTGAAAGTGGCTTGAATAATATGTAGAGGTGTAAGAATGCAGCAGTTTGGTTCAAAGAGAGGTTGAGAAATTATGGCCGGAGAGTCTTCAAATGCTGCGCGGCATGCAAGAATCCTGTTTCTAGGATGAATACTCGTCTTGCACAGAACAGTCACTTGTCTCGGCTTTTGGCTAACACTACCATGGTTGTAGGCTCCAGATCAATCTAAGGGCTACTGCATAGAGGTGACGGTGAGGCAGCTTCAGGAGTAGAATTCAAACTCTCAAAAGAAAATCGACAAAAGCCTGCAATTGATCCTTACCAGCTCTATTCTGTCCTCATAACCTCCTGCAGAAGTCGGGTAACACTCCGCGCAGTCCATGCAAAACACCACATGACCCGGGAAGAGGCTGACGAGGAGCAGGAGGCAGATCTAGAAGAGGACGAAGAGCCTCCTCGCACAAGGGAGCTGCAGCTGCATGGGATTGGGGTTAGGATTTTGAGGTTTAGGGTTTAGGATTTTGGGGTTTAGTGTTTAGGATTTTGGGGTTTAGTGGCCTTAGGGGATGTTTTGATTGAAGCATTTCCCTTCAAAAAAGTCATTGTCTTCATAACATGTATTCCCTAATGTAGACTGGTATTTTAGTTGGCACGCTTTTTAAGGGTAGAAATGGGGGGTTGGGGCATAGGGGCACAAACCTCAAAAACAATCTGGATTCAGCATGTAGCATGTGGGGGCAAAGCTTTGGGAGGTCTCAGACTTCAAGGCTTTCAGGGGTCGAGGGATTCAAGTCACGGGTTGATCCAAGGTACATGTCCCTTAGTGTTGGCAGGATGTTTACAGGAAATTAATGACAGGATTATTTCATTCTAACTATAAGCGCTGAACCCAAAGAAAATCTCGTTGACAGACAGTCAGGAACGCCTGATATACGGATGTGGCTTCTTGGTCTTTGTGGCTGTCATGGCTGCAGAGGCCGTGGGGCCGTCTGGGTGTGTGGAGATTGTGGGTCTCACTTGTTTTAGGGTCTGACACACACAGGGCACGTGTACGTTTTTGCCACAGCAGATTCTGGGTGGCAGCTACCCCCTCCATGGCCAAGAAAAACTGCACCCTGCCCCCAGCCTAACAAATAAAGCACCCCCCCCATCTTCGGATCGAGGTATTGCCAGGGCTGTGATGAGTAGCTTGAGGCCCTGATGCGTTAAGTCCTTCAGGGGTCCTGGCTTTTTGTTTGGGGCTTTTTTGGTGCGCCATGTGGTTGCTTTCGATTTCTTCAGGAATTCGTAGTACAGGTCATGACATGGCCTTAAGACTTCAGAAGATGTCTCCCTTAGCTCTTCGCGCTCCGAAATGCTTGCCCACCTAGCCTAAACCCTGAAAAGGTCTACCTGCAGATTCTGGTTGCCAATGTTACACAGCGCGGCCTCTCAGTCCCGGAGAGGAACTCCATGCTTGCCAGCGATGCTTTCCTCATTCCGCACCCTGGACCTTCTTGCAGCTTCCTAATGTGGTAGGGTCCCTAAACAGGGGGACCTTAATATAGACCTCAAAATACTACGATCCTCCTTATAGGGACCCCAAAAGGGAATCCCTACTTTGGGAAACCCCCTGTGTTTGCTATGAGGTTTTCGTGAAAACGGCCGATTTGATACCGCTTTCCTCAAGGTTCCGCAAAGACGCTGTAAGGCTCTCTGAGATCTTCCAGTTCCTGGAAGATGTGGTCTCAGTCAAAATCAATGCTGCCATGGCCGGCGACGAGGTGAGTGTGGGCCAAACTTGTTTTGTGGATGGCTAACTGCTGACTGTAGTCGTCAGAAGCTAAAGCATGGCACAGGGAGAGATAAGCGTGCAAAGAAATAGCGTGATAAATCCACATGGGGTGGATGGGCTGCAACACCTACTATTCTGCAAATAGAAATGACCCTTGTCTTTGTAGAACAAGGTCCATCTTGTTCGACCTACTTTAGTCATGGGCGTGGTCGGTGGCATTCTTTGCGGGATTCTGGCTGCAATTGCAGCCACAGGGCTCTGCTATTGGCCAGCAGGGAATCTGGACCTTTGTTGAACATTTTTTTGACTTGGTGTTGATGGATTTGGTGTTTGAGCTATAATTTTACCTGGCCTAAAGAACGGGTTAAGGATTCAGGGGCTCTTAGCACCCTACTCCACGCACGATTCCTACCTCCAGTGCTCCCTCGTTCCTCAGGGGGACGCAGCTGCAAGCTTGGCCCGCAAGTACCTCCTGTTGCAGGCCTGTTGAAACTCAATGTGGGCCCACAACTCCCATGCAGTATACTGTCTTCCCCATAAATCCTAAACCAGCCCATCTAAGGCAGTACAAAAAATTGATGTATCTACTTGTTCAAGCCGAGTCCTGAAACCTGAGGCTATGGAAGTAAATAAGGGGCCCTTGATTTTTGGAAACCCCAATATACCCTATTATAATATAGTAGTTTCCATTTCCTTTTCCATTATCCCAATATCACTCCCTATATAATCCCTTGGGAAAGGTTTGGAGCTGGCCTGCGCTGTTCGCTTGCCGTGCCATCAAAGGCTTTTTGATGGGCAGCGGCGACATCTTCGTGGGCATGGTTGTTTCTGGGGCCCTTAAACTTGGCAGATGGGCGTTCGGAGGATAAAAGCATAGAGTATAGAGGGCATGGCCTTGTTCAGGATCTCTCTGAATGGCATGCTGGGTCTTGATAAAAACGCCTCAGCAGTTATTTCCTTTTCAGGTTCTGAGCATGGTCAGCAGCCTGATGTCAATCGGGGGAATCTACCTGTTCTTCTTGAGGCACGGCCAGTGCTGATTCCATTTCTTTCGCGGCAAGTGAACGGTACCGCTCAAGTGCATATTGCGATTTTATGATGTGGCCTGTTTATGCTCTTGAAAAGTCCTCAGAAGACTAATACTAGACCCTAAACCCTAAACTCTACGCAGGCACCCATCCTTGGACACCCTGGGGTGGGTGAACTTCGGCACAGCCATGACATCGTTCCTGGTGCTTCTGGTCATGTTCGCTGTGCGCCGTGACCTCCGACAGAAGTGCTTGGAGTCTACTTCAACATTATTGCCTGGGTTTAGGGTTTAGGGTTTAGGGCTTCTGTTGGTTCTGCTGTGCATGGCCAGAATTATGGCTTGTAGCAAATGTATAGTTGCGCTTTTCATAGAGGCTTCACTGATACAAATCAAAATAGGTTTTAACTAAAGTTAAGCTGTATGAAAGGGCATGTTTTTGTGGTGGAAGGGTGCTACAGGTACAACTTGGTCTTCCGTTCTTCTGGCACCGAATATAGCAGACCTGAAGACTTCTCCGTGCGGGCCTTGCTGAAGGATTCCTCACGTGACTGGCTCTTGACGTTCTAGGGAATGAAGAGATATTGTTAGTGGGGCAACAACGGAGGAGGATAAGTGGGAGTAGTAGTTGTGGTGGCAGTGGTGGTGGTGGTTGTGGTAGGGGCAGGAGGAACAGCAGTAGCATTTGCAGTAGCAGTACTAGTTTTGGTAGTCAGCACGTAAGTGTCGAGTTCAGACTCATCACGGAATTCCCTCTGTCCCTTTCAGCCAACAGCCAGGTGAAGGCTTCATGGCAATGATGTTAGACGTATCTGCGCAGATGTCTGTCACGGTTGGCATCTATACAGCTGGCACAAGATTGGGCTTGGGCGCCATGTATCAGATCAGTGCTCTGCAGGCCGCCTTCCCCCAGTTTGGCTTGGGATGGGTCTGGGGAACAGCTTATATTCTGAGACTGGCAGGTACGCGGATGGTGTCCCAGGGAGAGTTTGAGGCATTTCGGAACCTGTTTCGCCATGCGGCGACCTACTGCTTGCTGCTTATGATTGCGATTGCATTCACTGTGATCCCCTTTGCGGATGCTCTATCTTTTCAACAGGCTGAGCAGGCCTGTGACTACGTTACGGATTTAGCATGCCTGCCTCACTACAATCACATCTTTGGAGGAGGTCGAGAACAATTCAGCACTCTCCAACAGAATTTCAGCAGGTTTTTTCTGCCTGTCTTGGTCGCCCGCTGTTTCTACCAGGCTGGGCCACATGCTACAACCATTAATTCATAAAGGGATTATATGGGGACATAAGGGCAAGATGGGGATAATCAAATGGAAGCATGGAAAATGAAATGGAAACTAGACTTCTATGCACCGAGAGTCCCTCTAAATCTTTTGATAGTGGACAGCATGAATAACCCTGCACAGTGCCCTTACATGCTACAATATGTCAGTATGTATCAGTCCTTTTCTGGAATCGCCGTAGAAACCATTTCTCTCTCCTTTTCTGTTCTTAGCTTTTCCAAAAATACATGTTCGAACATTGAAGAAAGGTCATGGTTCCCAAGCCACATACCGAAAGCCAGAGTGCCTGGAGATCCCTCCTAAAGAGGGCCTGGGAGGTTCTAGAAAATAGACACGCATAACGGGTCCAAAATGAGGGTTTCCATTTCCAGATTCCAAGAGGGCTCGGGCACATGACTTGGCTTGTGCTGGTGCGCAAGAGTCTACCGACACAAGTCTCCTCAACACCAGGAGGTAGGGAACCCTGAGCCCTTAAAGCCCCAACGCCCAGCTCAACCCGCTACAATCCTCAGCGCCTTGACTCCAGGCCGTCGAACACCAAAGACTGAACCCCCTGAACCAGTACAGCCTTGCCCTTCAACCTTACGCCGGGTTTTATCAAAAGCCCTATGTAAGCCACTAAGCGGGACCCCTATACTATCTCTATAACCCCATGTGTTGCTAGGCTCCTCGGGCTTTGAGTCCACCCCACGTGCTTTTTTTGTTTTGTGGCTTGCGCGGCTCGAGGTGTTTAAAGCTGGCCTCTATGTGTGCATGGACTGGAGCTTCATGGCCCGTGCCGTTGCCACTGTTGGCTTCAGGGTTTAGGGGCTTTGCGTGTGGGGTATAGCACCCATGGCGTTGTGCAAGGTTTGGGTTCGGATTTGGGGGGTACACTTACAGTTGGGTGCCTGGGCTTCAGGATTCCAACTTCATGGCCCGAGGAGACTTTCCTGGTATCATGAGAGAAATCCTTCGCTTGCTGCCATGGTGAGTGGAGTGCATGCCCTCGGAACTCTAAACTAGGTCCCTGCGAAGGGGTTTCTGTTCTTTTAACAGGGGATAATAGGGTTTATATTAGGGTTATATAGGGATAATGGAAAATAGAATGGAAACTACTATAGTGTATTGGGGTTATATAGGGGATAATATAGGCTAAACCCTAAACCATCTGGAGTCGGTCCCACACTTGAGAAGAAATTTTCAACTCCCAAAGGGTGCAGTTTTTCCATTTGATGTTCCATTCCCCTATACGTTCCTATATAACCCCTACATAGCCCCTAGTTTTCTTTCGTTCTCCGTTTGATTTTTGATTTGGTTCTTTCTCCATTATGGTGGTTTCCATGTTATTCGACCCTAAACTTGGCCCCTAAACTCGAAACTGCAAACCCTAAATCCTAAACCCTAAACCTACATTCCCCCCTGCCAACCTGATGGAAGTCCAAGGTCTCTACCATCCCAATTGCCATCTCATGTTCCATTTGCTTCTCCATTTCATTCTCCAGTACTGGGATAACGTCCCTATAATCCTCATATAACCCCATATAACCGCTATGCAAACCTTGCATAACCCCATATCTCCTGCAATAGGATCCTTATATCCCCATTATTTCCCCCCAAACAAAACCTAAAACCTAAACC